GTGGTTATATTTTACACTATATGAAACACCATTACGATGTATAATATGACAAAGGATCCATCAGCTTTTCTTGTAGATAAATCATCATTTTATAAACAGACCAAATATTTTAAAACTTGAAGATCTTATGAATCGAAGCAACCCGTCTGAACTGAACAAGCTGAGGTAATGTATACGATTAATCATTAAATGCCTAGAATCTCCTTGGTAACCACTGTATGTCTCTACTTTACACTTGTACTTAAATTTTATACGATGTATGTTAATTTATTTGTTTATGTCTCTATACCCTTGTACTTTGGTTTACGAGAATAAAGATATATATGTAGATAACAAAAGATTTCTCTTTAAAAAAATTTGTTCATTTTGACTATAATCAGTTGAAATTCTACATTCATCATTTGAAAGAGCAATCATGGTACAGTTCCATTTCAAGAATTTAGGAACTTTTGTCGTAATGTATTCACTTTTACCCTGAATATACATGAAATGTTTGCGACTGAACGTTAAACAAACGAGAATCAATAAAATTTGTTTTAAGTATATCTACTCCATGCATATTCTGTTTCTTAATTTCAAACTAGTTTCACCACAGAAGATATTGCCACTGCAAAAATAGACATGTTTTTGAGGAAAATTTAAATTATACTGATTTCACTGGAAATATTGTCATACATATTTATCTGCTTGATAGATTTCAACTATGTGTACATGTCTCTGAACACACACATAGTTTTGACTATAAATTGTAATTTAGTGGAGCAAGATCTGCGTACCCTTCCGGAACGCATGGAGTCGGTTTCACAAAAAAAACTTACGACTAAGATTGGTCGTAAGTCATGAACAATTCAGTATACTTACGATCAATCTTAGTCGTAAGTTTTTTTTGTGACTCCAGATCAGATAAACCCCAGTTTTTGATAGGGTTCGTGCTGCTCAGTCTTTAGTTTTCTATGTAGTGTTGTGTGAACGTATTTATCGTCTTTTGTTTTTCACCATGATGTCAGTTTATCTTAGGTTCTGAATGTCCCTTTGTATCTTCCTCCTACAGATCAAATACATAATAAACAGCCATTTATTAAACATATTAAAAATATTTACTGTCTGTTTGACAGTTTGTTCAATCACCAATAATTATATGGGCACAAAGTGTTGCCCTAAAAATTCCACACATGGAATCTTTTTGTATGGGAGCGAAAATGCCATGGGTTACATGATCCTAGATCCATTTAATATGGCAACTTCGGAAACTTCAATGAACGAACAATATAGAAAATTTGGTTGATGAATAAAGATAGTTTAGGCAAAATATCAGCTCACTTCAACAAATTCTGTTGAAAAAACCGATATCTAAAAAAACTGGGGGTGACTGAGAGCTGATACTATTTTAGAAGATACCGACTTTTCACACAATATATGCCTATATAATGCTTTAACCAGGAGCATAATAAATAAACAACCAGTTTCATATGAAAATTGGTATCTTTCTCATAAATGATTTCCTAAATCGTTTCAACAATTTACTAGGGGAATATCATGTGAATACCAGCTATTTACATTTTTTATGGCATCATGCAAGTGATTCTGAAAAACTGGAAAGATAAAATTATGGAGACAGAAAAGTTACAAAATATTACATGCAAAACATTGAACTTTGTAAAAAAACTAAAAGATATAGTAGATATTTTTTATACAAAAACTTCTTCCGTGTTTGAAGAACAACCTATAAAACAACATAAAAAATGGACAAATTATCTAAATATATATAGACATAATTGTTAACTTTTTATACATTTTGACTTGGATGGAGAGTTTTCTCATTTGCACTCATACCACATCTTCTTATATATATATACTTGAATAAGAATGCAAAGCAATTATTATACATTCTTTACATTTTAGTTAAACCAAAATTAATAAACTTATTAATTTCCAATATAAAATTTTTATCTTGAATTGTATACACAAGCTTACTTTTATACAATACAAGTGTAAACTGTCTGAAACAGAATTCTATAGTTAATGTATAGAAACTCGAGAGACTACCACCACCCACTTATTTTGGGATTGCATTTTTAGAAAAAAAAAATGGTTTGAAATGAAAGAAAAAGTGCCGTTTTTGGAGATGTTGACTATGATAATTTTACAAACTACATCATTGTTCTGATCAGGTATGATATATATACATGTAAACTTAATAGTAACAAACCTTCCTCTGTTTGTGATACTGGAAGTATTTAACAAGCACACAACAAAGAATAAACTGACAACTGCTATTAGGTTACAAGGAAGTAATTATTTACATAGGCGACAATGGTAGCCTTTTTTCGTCCTGCGTTTTCCCTATCAAAGATCCATTGAAAAAAATGTCGAAATCTGAATTATCAACCTTTGGGTGTAATTGAAACTGCAAAACACATATGATGCCGCAGCTTTTTTGATAGAAAAATGTCAGTTTTTAAGGGTACTCAACGGTTCCGGAATTTTCGAAATATTATGAATGAATAACACCCTTGCTAAATTTGGCACAGAAAATGTTTCTCGTCACAGAGAGTTTTCTCTAAATTTCTCGCTATTTCTACACCAATGGCCAACACTCATTTCTCACTATTTCAATTTTGATTTCTAATTACTAGGGCAGCAGAAAATAAATTTACTTCTACCTATTATCTTGGATGTGAAATCTAGGTGGCGCCAATCATCTTTATTTACTTCCTTTTAACCATTACCATACTTCTGCAGTAAGTGAGAAGATAGACCTTAAGGAATATGATATATAAAAGGGGAGGAACTCTATTTTGCTTTATTATGATCAACAGCTGGTTGGATGCATTATACAAGAAGAACAATGATAAATTGCATCCAAGAATATTTTGTAACAACATTCACTTAAAGATGTCATTGTAGACATATGAGTCAATGGTATCGACCCATTTTTCATTAATTTGACCAATTTGCGACTCAGCAAAATTACAAATTATATTATTTAGTTCTTCTCTCTCGTGTGTAGTGTCATACAAACTTTACATATCTATTGACCAAAAATGAATTAAAGGTAGTAAGTTTAAATAATTCTACAAAATAAATGAATAGAACAAAAGGAGTCACATATTGATCACTCTATCGACTCTATAAAAGACTATAGATACATTGCAGTTGACCATGTAACCTTTCTTTTTATTACTTGTATCATGTTTCTTATGTTTTATTTTCCTATTGTATTTAAAGACAATATCTATAATCCTAAACTGAATGTAGAATTGACAAAGCATTTAATAAATTGAATATTGTATTATGTATTGAATGATGAGTATGGGTCACTGTTTGAAGTGGCAATGAAAATATGAAAAATTACATAAAAAGTGTTGCCTTCTTGATATAGTTAAGATAAAGGCCAAATAAAGCTTAACTTGTCAACAAAATTTTCTGGAGTGTCAATATTGTGCTATTATTGGCGTTAGTCAAGCAACATATCCTTCAAACAGATATGAACTTGCTATGAGGTATGGTTTTGTTCATTGTTGAAGGCCGTACAATGACCTACAGTTGCTAACTTCTACGTCATTTGGTCTCTTCCTTTTGTATGTTAAAAATAATAGTATTGCAAAATCACACCCCTTTTCAGTTTTCACACAAAAATATCCATTCAACCTTATTCATGAGCATGAATGATCGCAAATTTTTTTCCGTAAAAATTTGAGGGTGTTTCGGAAAAGAAATATGAACTTACCACTATTTATACCGTATATACTGGTACTGATTCCAAATTGTATACGCGAAAAAAGTACGATAAAGGCCAACGTCAGCTCTGAAGAAAAAAAAAATATAAAGATAATAGTTGGGCATTTTCTATGGCACCAGGCCACTTAAATGAGGACCCTCAAATAGTTGTAAGGTTTCATAAGCGAAAAAAACACTACTTTAAAAGGGAACCTTGTTTGCGGTTTATCTATTTTATAGATTTCAAATGAGACGCCATGAATGTCCAAGGGCTCTCTTTATTCAAATATCTTTTATATTTATTGATTGAGGTCCCGTTGCAATATTTCATCAATATTCAAGATGTGATATAAAATTAACTATAAATCTGATAGCAGGCTTTGCAATGTATGTCGATTTAGATAAAGTCTAGGAATTTCTCCAGCCAAAGGAAAATGAGCGTATAAAGATAAGGGCCAGAAAATGTGCCTTTAATCGGGCCACTTACGAACACTGTGTTTTTGTTTGATCGTCTGCTTTGTACCGATCTGATGAGTTAAGCCTTTTTCAACTGATTTTTATAGTTTGTTCTAATGTTGTGCTGTTTCACCACTGTCTTAGGTTAGGTTAGGGTTGAGCGCTCACAAACATGTTTATCCCCGCCACATTCTTTTTGTGTCTGTACCAAGCCAGGAGCCTGTAGTTCAGTGGATGTCGTTTTTTCATGTCGGTCATTTTTGTGAATTCTTAATTGTTTTGTTATAAATTTAGCCGTTAGTTTTCTCAATTGAATTGTTTCATATTTTTTTATGTCGGGGCCTTTTATAGCCGACTATACGGTATGGGGTTTTCTCATTGTTGAAGGCTGTACGGTTGCCTATAATTGCTTACACACTTCATTTGAACTTTGGTGGATAGTTGTCTCATTGGCAATCATACTCACTTCCTACACAAAGCATCGGATTTCACTTACACATTCTGAAAGGGCGTGACAGCGTATTTATACATACCGAACAGGCAAACGATTGCCCATCTTTTATAGCATGGATTTTACTGCCAGATGGGATAAATCAAGGTATGAACTTATTTCTATGCCTTATTCACCTTTAGGATTTTTAAACATCTTTGGCCCAAGCCTCTTACCTTATGGAAAATAATTTTGAAAAATGATTGATCACTCGAACTTATAATTTGAATAAACCATTGTCATATAGGTAAAACATAGCATAGCTCTACATTTTAAAGACTTTTATTTACAGCGCAACCTTTTTGAAAATGTCGTTTAAAAAAATGACAGTCACTTCTTTCTTTAACAGATTTATTAATAAAAAACATTTGAATGCTCACTAACTCCCTTTTTTGAAAAGAAGTTGTTAAACGTCGATGATGCGATTCTGCAAATGTCGAACATCGAGTAAGAATTAGCCGTAGAATTTTAGCCATTATATCTGGAGATAGCACACTATAACCTAAACCTCAACTAATTATTCAAGATATTATGTCCTACGTTTGTGTAGAGGATAAACCATGTATTTTAGACTTTTGTAATATTGTAAAAAAAAAGTATATATTTGAAAACTGACAAAACATGCATATTCAATTATTTGTCACAGATTATTTATTGGTCACAAAAAAAGCATATAAAAGTATTACATTTTCTACTATACCTCATACCATTGCAAAACGCGGGAGGTTGAAAATTACTCATAAAAGTAGACTGGCTAAGAATGGTTAGGAATTCATATATTACTCTAAAAAGATGACTTCATTCGTTATAGAAACTATCTATGTGTTTAGAATATAATGATAATACTTTATTCCAAAAGCGAGTACAGGTTATAGGATATATACAATATTTGACAAATTAATTATACATGCACCATATCACATAAACAGACATAATTATTATAATCAAATGTTAACTACATTTAAATACATTAAATCACTCCTATACTATACAATTCTAAGTATAACGCAGAGTATGACATACATAGAATTGTTCAAAATTAGCAGCGTAGTTTCTCATCTAATTTAAAGTATTTACCAACATTGTTTAGTTCTTTTAATATTTTGTACAGATTACAATTGTATCAATTTATAAGTAGAGGGGTGTCTCCAATAATATTGTTTGATATATTTTTCTCTAATGTCAGCATATTTATAACATTCCAATAAAAATTCACATGTACAGGCATTTCACTTCACGAGTATTATCACTATTATTATCTGTTTGATATTTAAGTGATATGACAACATAATTACACATTTATGATCAGATAGTGACGAATATTTCTTTGACAATAAACTCATAATTGAACTTTGTAAGCCAGACGCAAGTTTTTTCTTCAAAAAACTCATCAGTGACGATCAAATCAAAAAAGTTTAAAAAGGCCAAAATAAACTACGAAGCGATACTTCCTACACATGCAATAATATATCGATTTATGTGTTTATTTTATGCCAACAATCCTAACATAATCTTTTGTTTAGCTGCTTTGATTTCGCTACTAAGCATTTACGTGTAATACTTATTTAGAAGGGATAACTGAACAAGGAACACTTAACTCTTAATAACAGTTTTTACAGTGAGGTTCAAACGAGTTTCCACTTAAAATGGAGCAATCGACGTGTCTTAATCCTAATGTATTAAAGGGGCGGTCCTTTTTTTGTAATATCTCATCATCCATTAATTTGATTTTCATTTGTTACATTATTGTAATTGCCTCCGCCCCTAGACAAAAATACCATGTTGTGTCCAACCCCCATATATATTCCCTTGAAAAGCCCTAACTATCTGTTATACAACCTACAATACATGATAAATATTATTATATAAAAAAAACCGCCCAAGAATGAAAAATGTGTATTTCCCCGATACGAAAAACGATGATCACAAACAATATTCCGTATTATTATTATTATGAAATTATTATTTACTTCCAGAAAATGTTTACAAATAGTTAAATCATTGATTAATATTCATCAATCTTCTATTCTAGCTTTCAGGACCACCATTTTTTTCAATACAGGGACACTTTGAAAAATTGTAGAATATGGACTATTTGAAGATAAGAATCTGCCTGATGAACATATTTCTGATTTCTTTTCTTTTTCATTTGATTATTAAATAGGAACAGCTGGGAAATTATGTCCAGACTTTTAGAGATAATGTCATCTTATAAACACTATCAAATTATTTGAACTTTTACAGAAAAATCTGACAAATGACACTGAAGATCAAATTGGTTTGTACAATGGATAAATTGCGGATTTACATCACGGCTTTCCATGAAGAAATATGGTTAAATATGTAAATGAAAATCACTGCCTACAATTATCACAAACGCGATAAAAAATATATTTTTTTTCTTCACATGTATGTTAAGGCATTTCACTTCACGAGTATTATCACTATTATGGATTATGCGTAGACAAGATATGTCATATTTATAGTCTTAAATATTAAATGTACTTTTTTTTTCATAAGGAGCAATATACATCTTTGTATAGATTAGTTTGATGAGTTTTTCCTTGATGTTTTCGATTCCTTTTTGGGTTTATTCAAGTCTTTTTCTTTTGGAAGCTTTGATGTTTGGCATACTTTTTCTAATTTTCGTTGGATTGTTCCACTCCGTTTCGCGTTTTCATTCAATTGGTTTCCTAGCTTACTGTAAAATTTTATTGTATTTCCAACTTTTGAATCAGTCGGTAAGTCAGTTATTCCACTATTTGCTTTGACAATTTGGTTATTATTAGGAGTTTCGCATTTATCATGCGTTTTAGTTTCACTGGAATATGTGGTAGAGTTTTTAGATCCGTCCAATGATAAAGCTTCTGGTTCATTCTGAGGTTTGCTGTAATCTATATCTCTTCCGTCATTTTGTGACTGAACACCTTTATGAACAGAGATATTCAATTCATCACATTTCATATCTTGAGTAGTATGACATTCTTTGATAGAAATATTTTCGTATTGATTCATGGGCTTACATTGATGTTGCGTTACTATATTTGAAGAGGTTTTAAATTCATTTCTAACGTCATTTTGATTTGTTTCTTCCATATTATCGCCTATACCTTTATCACCTATATTGGAATTGCTGGTTTCACTCTTTACTTCTTCAGAGCCTTTGGCTCTTACATCGGAAATGCCTCCAATAAGCTGGTCGTTTGTCGTGTTACTATTCGATTCACCGTTTTCTTCCAGATATCGACAACTTTCATTAATGTTTTCAGCATCTCCTGTTTGCAAGCCACTCCCTGGTTTCATAATTTTTTTCAGGCCCGATTGATTTATGCATCCTTTTGATTTTGGAAGGGATTTGTCCATATCATTGATCAGACCAGATTGATCTGTGTTTGCAGATACTTGTTGCCGTGAATCACCATCGGATTCCTTTTCCTTACTTTGGCAAAGCGGGTTTATGGATTTGTAATCCGCCTTTTGTGATAAATTGTTTGGTTGATCCTGTTTTTTCGGGTTAGTTTGCTTTAATTCAGAATCACTGGCATGGGAATCACCTTTAAGTGCATTCTTTGTGCATTGGACAGGATCGGAAATTTCGTTGCTTGTAATATCATCTTTAACAGTAGGACTACTACTTGGTTTACACGTTTTTGGTGGTGCAAATATATCTTCTGCGGATTTTTTCCGAGGGACTGTTTTATCCTCATAATTGGTCTGAACCGTTCCTTTTGCTAACACTGGACCATCTTTATGTAGAAGTAGGGCTGGCCAAACGACATATTCAACAGTTGTACCAGATCTATTATACTTATTGAATTTGTTTGGATCAATTGGTTGCTGTTCAAAATTTTCATAATCAATCGTCATTGGTGGATTCGATGAAAGCACGTGCCAGCACAATTCCGAACATTTCATTATGAAATGTTTTGCGCTTGTTAAAGACTCTGGATAAGATGAAATATAGTCCTCACAACATTGCTGCAAGATAAAAAACGTGAAATTCGTGCAATAAAAAACAGAATATGATGTAATGAATACACAATTCCTTGGACTTCACGTACTTGTTAACCTAGCAAATTCGTAATTGCAGGGATATTACGTACCTGTATTATCACTGAGAATCATTAAGGAACTTTCAAGGAGTAAATCAATTTAAATTAACAACGAGTTGTTCAGAAAACAGTTAAGGGTGTTTCCACTTTTACTTTTTTCTACTGATAGCTTTGGTTTTAGAAGGTCATGTACAGAGTGAAATGATAGCTGACTTTTCACTGATTACAAATACATTAACAGTTTCTATGTTCTTTTGCATGACATTAGTTCAAACATATAGACTTCAAGTTTACCTCAATGCCACTTCCGCTTGACACTTTTCACAGCTTTACCACAGATCAGTATAAAGCTTTACTCAATAAATCATAAAGTGAAGTATCCAAAGGGCAATACACTCCTACAAATGTCTTCGGATTGATTTAAACAAAATATAACGAATCTTCGCCATAATGTTTCAAACATTTTGTTCCATTTCCTTTGTTTGTCTATCTTTTAACAGTTTCAGTGGAATGGCAATAACAAGTAAAGATCACATTATAGAGCGCTAATTCTTCCTTTGATCTTGACCTCAATTTCCAGATAAAGGTCATTGATCCATTGAAGCCGCCAAGTCTCTATTAAGTAGAGTTAAGGAGTTTTCCTATCAAAAATCCAGGACCGTCAATTCGTGTTTGTTTGAGAGGAGACAGTAAAATATGTAGCGGTTTGGGGGTCGCCTAGGCCTCAAGAACCTGAAAAATTTTCAGGCTATTTTTTTTGCATTTCTTTAGATATTTTGTCTTGGTTTCTAAGAAACATTTTCAAACCTAGAAATGAAAGCCTTGTTCCAGAAACAAGTTTGGATCAGATGTTCAAACTTGAAAAAAATACCAATCTTTGCTACGATATTTCATGTAAATATTGACAAAAACCTGATGCATTTACGACTGTGGTTTTAATCTACGAACATCTTTATCTGGTAAGTAGTTTCAGATACTTATGATTTAAACAGCAACTTTATCATATATTTAACATTTTAATCAAAATTTACCATCCTATTCATATATTATGAAGCTTGAAAAGTGACTTATTTCAGTGGCCCATCTCTACCGTTTAGTACATAGTAAGTGCCCCCCCTCGAATGTACAGAACGCTAACAGTAATAGAAGCTAAAGTTTTATAATAAGTCTTTTATATCTGGATAGAATCGCTTGTTATATGGTACTTTGATCCCATACCCTTTATAATATTCAAAATTTTTCAAAGTTGATAATCAAAATGAATTGTTCTGGTTTTTTTTTGGCTCTTATTTTTTTATTCAGTGCTATTCTTTGCCAGCCCGTTATAGGCGAAAATTGCCTACATGCCTCCACATTATGTACGGCCCTGATAGCTTATTTTGATTTTCAAGGAAAAAAAACTCCTTTGAAATAGTATACAGTGCCCTTCAAACCAAGTTAATTCGCGTTGAGTCGTGTCGTAACAACTTGACAAAGTTTACAGTTTCTGAGGAGTTGCGATAACAAACAAAGTACAAAGCTTAAACACATGACCTTAACCTTTTGATCTATGACCTTGACTTTTGATATATGACCTTGACTTTTGATATATGACCTTGACATTGACTTCCCGATTATGCACTAATGACTTCATATCAGAATACACTACGACTCTATGACTTATGTTTGTGTTTGTTCAACAGACATACCACTACAATTAAATACATAAAGTATAATAAGTCATATAAGATGTCACCGGATCGCTTTGATCAAATTAAACAGATTATCCTAACGAAGTAACGAATATTTTGAAGAAAATTTAATCGACATCGTTTACCAGTTTCCGAGGAGAAGCTATAACAAGAAAAAAAAGTGTATGGGGTATATCTCAAAACATTTTGTTCCATTTCCTTTTTTGTCTATCTTTTAACAGTTTCAGTGGAATGGCAATAACAAGTAAAGATCACATTATAGAGCGCTAATTCTGCCTTTGATCTTGACCTCAATTTCCAGATAAAGGTCATTGATCCATTGAAGCCGCCAAGTCTCTATTAAGTAGAGTTAAGGAGTTTTCCTATCAAAAATCCAGGACCGTCAATTCGTGTTTGTTTGAGAGGAGACAGTAAAATATGTAGTGGTTTGGGGGTCGCCTAGGCCTCAAGAACCTGAAAAATTTTCAGGCTATTTTTTTTGCATTTCTTTAGATATTTTGTCTTGGTTTCTAAGAAACATTTTCAAACCTAGAAATGAAAGCCTTGTTCCAGAAACAAGTTTGGATCAGATGTTCAAACTTGAAAAAAATACCAATCTTTGCTACGATATTTCATGTAAATATTGACAAAAACCTGATGCATTTACGACTATGGTTTTAATCTACGAACATCTTTATCTGGTAAGTAGTTTCAGATACTTATGATTTAAACAGCAACTTTATCATATATTTAACATTTTAATCTAAATTTACCATCCTATTCATATATTATGAAGCTTGAAAAGTGACTTATTTCAGTGGCTCATCTCTACCGTTTAGTACATAGTAAGTGCCCCCCTCGAAAGTACAGAACGCTAACAGTAATAGAAGCTAAAGTTTTATAATAAGTCTTTTATATCTGGATAGAATCGCTTGTTATATGGTACTTTGATCCCATACCCTTTATAATATTCAAAATTTTTCAAAGTTGATAATCAAAATGAATTGTTCTGGGTTTTTTTTTGGCTCTTATTTTTTTATTCAGTGCTATTCTTTGCCAGCCCGTTATAGGAGAAAATTGCCTACATGCCTCCACATTATGTACGGCCCTGATAGCTTATTTTGATTTTCAAGGAAAAAAAACTCCTTTGAAATAGTATACAGTGCCCTTCAAACCAAGTTAATTCGCGTTGAGTCGTGTCGTAACAACTTGACAAAGTTTACAGTTTCTGAGGAGTTGCGATAACAAACAAAGTACAAAGCTTAAACACATGACCTTATCCTTTTGATCTATGACCTTGACTTTTGATATATGACCTTGACATTGACTTCCCGATTATGCACTAATGACTTCATATCAGAATACACTACGACTCTATGACTTATGTTTGTGTTTGTTCAACAGACATACCACTACAATTAAATACATAAAGTATAATAACTCATATAAGATGTCACCGGATCGCTTTGATCAAATTAAACAGATTATCCTAACGAAGTAACGAATATTTTGGAGAAAATTTAATCGACATCGTTTACCAGTTTCCGAGGAGAAACTATAACAAGAAAAAAAAGTGTATGGGGTATATCTCAAAACATTTTGTTCCATTTCCTTTTTTGTCTATCTTTTAACAGTTTCAGTGGAATGGCAATAACAAGTAAAGATCACATTATAGAGCGCTAATTCTGCCTTTGATCTTGACCTCAATTTCCAGATAAAGGTCATTGATCCATTGAAGCCGCCAAGTCTCTATTAAGTAGAGTTAAGGAGTTTTCCTATCAAAAATCCAGGACCGTCAATTCGTGTTTGTTTGAGAGGAGACAGTAAAATATGTAGTGGTTTGGGGGTCGCCTAGGCCTCAAGAACCTGAAAAATTTTCAGGCTATTTTTTTTGCATTTCTTTAGATATTTTGTCTTGGTTTCTAAGAAACATTTTCAAACCTAGAAAATGAAAGCCTTGTTCCAGAAACAAGTTTGGATCAGATGTTCAAACTTGAAAAAAATACCAATCTTTGCTACGATATTTCATGTAAATATTGACAAAAACCTGATGCATTTACGACTATGGTTTTAATCTACGAACATCTTTATCTGGTAAGTAGTTTCAGATACTTATGATTTAAACAGCAACTTTATCATATATTTAACATTTTAATCTAAATTTACCATCCTATTCATATATTATGAAGCTTGAAAAGTGACTTATTTCAGTGGCTCATCTCTACCGTTTAGTACATAGTAAGTGCCCCCCTCGAAAGTACAGAACGCTAACAGTTATAGAAGCTAAAGTTTTATAATAAGTCTTTTATATCTGGATAGAATCGCTTGTTATGTGGTACTTTGATCCCATACCCTTTATAATATTCAAAATTTTTCAAAGTTGATAATCAAAATGAATTGTTCTGGGTTTTTTTTTTGGCTCTTATTTTTTTATTCAGTGCTATTCTTTGCCAGCCCGTTATAGGAGAAAATTGCCTACATGCCTCCACATTATGTACGGCCCTGATAGCTTATTTTGATTTTCAAGGAAAAAAAACTCCTTTGAAATAGTATACAGTGCCCTTCAAACCAAGTTAATTCGCGTTGAGTCGTGTCGTAACAACTTGACAAAGTTTACAGTTTCTGAGGAGTTGCGATAACAAACAAAGTACAAAGCTTAAACACATGACCTTATCCTTTTGATCTATGACCTTGACTTTTGATATATGACCTTGACATTGACTTCCCGATTATGCACTAATGACTTCATATCAGAATACACTACGACTCTATGACTTATGTTTGTGTTTGTTCAACAGACATACCACTACAATTAAATACATAAAGTATAATAACTCATATAAGATGTCACCGGATCACTTTGATCAAACTAAACAGATTATCCTAACGAAGTAACGAATATTTTGAAGAAAATTTAATCGACATCGTTTACCAGTTTCCGAGGAGAAGCTATAACAAGAAAAAAAGTGTATGGGGTATATCTCCAACCAGGATTTTTTTTCGGCTGAACAGGTTGAGTTTCTAAAGTGCAATAACTGTTTGATATCATATATCAAAGTAAATCGTGTTGCGAAACAAAAGCTAATGTTTTCGTATACGAAAGAACTGATTAAAAATATTTCCTTATTATTGTCATCTACAATGATAGGGCGACTTGCATAGCAGATATACTATGATGTGATTTTCATCAGGAAACTTTTCCCGTTAAAATAGGTATACAGTTATATTTCAGTCCGAACAAATATTCGCGTACAATGTATGACGCTGATTTTCTTGCGCATAACACCCAAATCGTGAATAACCTTCATCAATTACCTCAATGATATATGTTACAGAAACCCTATATACATGTCTCGGAAAAGGAATGGAAGTAGTGTGTCATTTTGATCTCTTAATCTTGATTGGTTGATTGTTGGTGTTAGACGAACAAAAATCAACCAACCAAGAGATCAGCATACTTAACTACAACATGGCGGTAATTATTTACTGGTTATGCAAGTTCGGCAGGAAAACTGGCAATTCTAGTCAATTAAAATCAGAATCCAAAATACATTGAAATGAGCGGGTAGGAACTCACAACCTCAGTGTTCACAGGTTGATCACTGTAGGTGATCTTCACTTGTGCCTTTAGACAAGACGACATTAGCTTAGACGCCAAATACGGACCGTTAGTATAAAACGAAAATAGTGAATAATAAGCAATCAAATATTTTTATATATGCTGTTAATAGACGTATAAAAGCTTCAAAAGTATTGGAGCTTTTCAGCAATGCAATGAGCTTGATTGTACAGCTATACGTAGGTTTAGACAAATTTAAGTAAAATCAAACTTGTTTTGAACATTAAAAAAACCAACTATGAATTATGTCTTTGTAAAATATATCTTTCTAGGTAATAATTTTTTTTTCTCAGCAATGTATATTTTCCCTAAAAAGATATACAGGAAGAAGGCTATAGCAATTGTCATTGAGACATTTTGGCTCCATACAGTGAGGTAACTTCTACGTCATTTTGGTTTTTGGTGGAAATTTTCTCATTGGCAATCATACATCATCATCTTAAGTTTCATTGACGTGTTGTAATGCCTATAGTTTCCCTTCCTAATATACCTTCGCGTATAAAGCTCTCTAAATATTTTTCATCAGAGGATCTCCTAACCAAATATGTAGAAAGATGTATCATAATTATAAGAAGAGGTTAACTGACAAAAGAAGGTCGAGAATGCTGAAACATATGAAAATTAATTTCGCTCGATGGCGTTAAGGTCCTAGTGTTTCTGAGAACAAAATACATGAAAAACCTAAAAAAGAAGCCATGTTGTAAAAGCTGTGTTAGAATAAAATTGAGAATGGAAATGGGGAATGTGTCAAAGAGACAACAACCCGACCATAGAGCAGACAACAGCCGAAGTATATCTTAAAATAAATAAACGCAAACTTTTCTTTAGAGAGAATTGAATTACGTACACGTTTTACGGGTTATCATAAACACCTTACGTGTTTTGAGATGGTTTAACCTGTATTTGTATAATTCGTAATATGTCGTTTAGTATACCTTCCTAACAGCATCAATCAATGTCGTACTGCACTGGAGTTGAAACTTAGCATTTTTCTCAAAGTCTTTCATCGCTGTGGTCATCATTGTATCTTCAGTATGAATATTACCTTGAATTTGTTTAATCTGTGTGATAAAGATAAGTTAATATTTATACAAAACAAAATTTAACTTAGAAACAAATAGATTTCAATTTTTGGTCTTAAATATAAGAATAATTAAAGTTCGTTTCCTGTTTACTGTCTTATATTACTGTAACTAGTTTTAAACATTATAGATTTAATAGATATGATAAATTAAAAAGGATTCAAATGTGTTTCATTTCTATCGTGTTTTTTTTTTTAAAAGTAACCAGAGAACGTCTGCAAACGAGTTTTAACAATTCAACAAAACATTTTATATTTACAATTCATAATAAAAAAAAGTCTTTACATATAATACAAATGTACAATATCATGAGGATTTGTTTTTCTTTTTAATTTCTATATAATTCTGTTGCTGTCATATTACAGCCTTCCCCATATCTCCTTGTATTCAAACGTTAAAGAGAATGAGAGAAGCCAGCAATCATAAGTCATACACATTGAATTCAGGGAAAAACGTCACTTTCTTAGTCTGTTTTCGGAAAATCACTTCTTTATTTAATAACATACTAGAACACACCCGCAACATCGCAGGTCCATGACTGAATTAAAGTACCTACACCTTATTTTCAGCCTGGATTTTTAGTTTTCGCATTGTCATTTGAAAAAGTCATGCTGATTATAAGGTGCACAGTTTTCTCTGCTTTCAAAATCTTTCTGTTTGAATCCGTTCTGATTTTCTTATTACTACCGGAAACTACTTGTAGAATAAAAGTGATATATTTGTTTGGTGAATGATTGAATTTAGTAGTGTCAATCCCTGCATAATGACGAAGTTCAGGTGTGATTATGACCCGTGTATATAGCAAATCCCAAATATACCGTTTGGTAGTGCGCCTGAGAGAGGCCGAACGTACAGGAAACAGGTAACAAGTACTATTGGTATCGGTATCGAATTCGACCCGGAACTTGTTAATTATTGGTAATATTAATATTATGGAAAACAAAAGGGTCTGGAATAGTGTTATTTTTAAACAACACCATTTTCCTATATTAGTTATATATAAAGTTAATATTACGTCATGCCGGCTAACAACCGTGCAAGGGCTGTATAGCCAGTCAAGGTCGTTAAAAACTTCCATTTGTTTGCCGGCTAACAAATGAACCTCGTTATTTTAGTAGTATAGATATGTCTTTTCGTTGTGCCGTTGTTTTCGATGTTTATTTTTCTTTCACTTGAAAAGTACCATAACGAAATAGTGATTGATAGTCAGACAAACAAGGGGTCCCTTACATGGCTAAGCTTTTCAAAACATATTGTTGAGTGTTTATATGGAAACAATTTTCAGGAATTTGTATAAATGGCAGGATTGCTTGATATATTATGCTCAAAATGCAATACGGAGACATCCCATAAAATATACTGTTTTGAAGACGACTAAGTACGGAAAATTTCTTAAACGTTTGAGGACTACGCGTATTTTAAAATAAGTGCATTGCGTAAGGCAAGACAAAAAAAAAGGAAAAAAACCAAGTGAATCCCGCGTCTAAGAACTAAACCACAACAAACACATTAACACACTGTGACCATTCTACTCTGTCACTTTTGGTTGTAGGTAATGCAACCTAAATTATAGTACAAAATACACAATTCATTAAACTGATAACTTACGTTTTCAAGCTCCTTTGGCTTTGCTCCGAGAAAATGAATGAACCGTACGAGTTCCCATAAGGTTTCATGGATTTTATTATTTTGTTCTTTTGCTATTTCTAAACATCTCTTGTAACACCACTAGAAGAAAGTACAAATAAATCTCATTAGCTTCTGGCAAAGCAGAAGGTACAATTTGAGGTTGAACAAATAATTTAGCTCATTTTAAACTTCCAAATGATATTTATTTTTATATAAATGAGTTACACATTATGAGATGAATAAGGAGACACGGAGGAAATTTGAAATATTTGACCAGAAATATGAAAAGTTTTGGAAAAATAAGGCTAAATTATGGAAAATTCGAGAAAAATAAAGAGTAATTACATCCACAATCTTTATCAGTTGCTTTTCTGGTAGTTCATTATTGTTGCTCTTTCTCTTATTCTGTTCAGTTAGGTCTTCGTAGACATCTGTCCATTCATCAGTATACAATGAAGCCCAACGTTCTCCAATTTTTTCAGGTCTATTAGGATTACCAAGATCAGTAATGGTTGGATTCCCATCCGTGAGTTTTTGACCTGCTAGTTTACTTAATCTAAAAACAATTTAGAAATACAAAAGAAAAACAAGTATATTGGATATTCATCCATGACATAAAATCAGTACATGCACAACAACAAAAACACACAAAAAGCAAAGGAACAGCGCTTTTATTGTTGTTCTTCATCTCAAAGTATATAATTGATTTGTTTAATTCTTATTATTATCAATGCCGATAAAAATCAAGTAACGTATATAGTATTTGATTATCTTAACATGGCAAGTTCATCGATCATATTGTGCACACGTCAAACAACTGACTTTAATGATATCAATGGTACATTTTGAAAGAAAATCTAAACATAGTCCAGAAATAAAGCAACTTTTCAAAGAAAACCAATAGAAAAGGACAAGTAATCATATGAAGGATTAAAACAATTGTATGCCCGAACAAATCTTCCATATTTACATAGTGTAATAGTAGAACTAGTGTAAACAAAAAAATATGTTTCATAATTCTATTTAGAAGAATGCAAATATCATAATGACGACCATTTTGTTTCACGTCATGTTACTTTTTTTTCCAACGACGACGACATGATAGCTGCGGCCTAAAGATATCGTTACTAAATATTCTTTTCTTCAGCTGCTCCCAAATTTACAAACGTTGATGTCTTAAATAAAACGTATATCTTTTAGATTTAAATTGCAGGATTTTGATTGTTTAAAATCAGAATAAACTGCCACAGAAGTGACACTAGAAATTGACTATGAAAACTTAAAAAATACAGAATTGTGACGACCATCCGTTGAGGCAATAAGTCTCTTGGCTTGGGAAAGACATATAAATATTGTGACGGGGCTAGAATATTTATGAATGTATTGGTGTTAAACATGTTAATGAGCGCCCAACTTTCCCGTAACCTAAACATGTGGTGCAACAACATAACATGAGAACAAAGTATAAACAGCAGTTGGTAATGACTTGACTCATCAAATCGGGTCCGATCTAAGAAGTCAACACGCTCGTCCATATATAAACATCAATGAGTACAGCACAAATGAATCTAAAGACTTAATAAGCAGTCTAGGAAAAACATGACCTTATGCAATGCAAAGTACATATGTGAAGTGCTAATGAAAATGGTTTTAGGGTATACTCTGAGTGTGGCAACTATCCAGTACCCGTCAAATTGAACTATATGCCCTTGACTGTGTAAAGACTGGAATTTGCTTTTAATTATAATGGAATTTTATAAGTTTTATTGGAACCACCTGTTAAAAAACTGAAATTATATAACATCATAATACATGGGTACATAATGAATATTCTGACAAGACTTGGATATGATTGCCAATAAGGACTTCTTAAAAGCTATACCAGGAGTAGATTAAACAACATGATAATGATCAAGTCGAACGTTGGGTTGGAGAAATGGGAAGAAGCTGAGTGGAGAGAAAGGCCACAAAAATGTGGGGGAGGTAAAAAGCATAGCCCCAACTCCTACGCCCCTGTTGACGTTTCATTAGGAGAAACAATAATTTAGAGGAGATGTGGGATAAACTTCAATGAGACACTAACCCAACAACACAAATAACCAAAAGGCATCTAGAAAGCAATAACAGACAAGCGTGTATACACTTGACGTGTCTCGGTATATGTGAATCCAACTTTCGGGATTTGGTTTTTGGCGTTCCTCACGCGGATAAGTCTAGAGGTACGATTCGGACCCATGAAATTTTAAGTGATGCTGTTTTCATTTTGTTTACCCTTGTATTTATATTTTGCTTAATTTGTACTTTCTCAGAATTTGTTTTACCAAGTCAGGAATATGAGAGTTGTTTTCCATTCGTTCTATTAGTATATATAGTCGAACGTTTGATTTTTGTCAGTTTTTATTGACCCTCTTTGTTTTATTTTCCATTGAGTTCGGTATTTCTGTTAATATGTTTTTACAATGTGTAAACTCCAAATCGTTCTGAAGCTATAAAACACATTCTCAATTAATTTAACAGAAATTTTTAAGATCTAAAATAGAAAAAAAAATGTGTTATCATTTAAAAAAAAAGGCTATGAAAAACGACATTAAATCAACCAATAATTTACTTATATTTGTAAAAAAATCACCAACGACACAAGGCTTATCAATTTGGACGCCTTTGGCGTGCATTTCATAAGACTCGTCGGTGGCGCTCAAGTCAAAACAGTTTTGAATTTAATTCAATCAATACGTAAAGTGATGTTTACCTACGGATCTGGTGTGTTTTGGTCCAAACTACAGACGATTTTAGAAAGCGGGACTATTTTGGTTATTTTTACAATCGTGGTGTACATAGGAGGAAATGGGAATGACACTTGTGTGTACACAGTAACTTGTTACGGCACGGGACGATCAAATTCTTATTTTTAGTTTACCGAAGATTATAAATAGGTCTTTCATTTTATCAAGATTACCCGGAATGTATCAATCGTTTGAAGCTGTTATCAATAGAAATCGGAGCAGAAAAACGAAAGTTCAATAAAAATAATCGCTTGAATATATTTTGGTTCCAGGTGTTTCTGTGACTTCGTTTATATTTTCTATTTCATATAGTGCATCTTGCATTTGTATCAAACACAATTATATATTTTCTGCACAGCATCAGCCCTTTTTTACTTGAATATACATTATCTCAGATTTCGTACTATTAAATACAATGTTTTAACGGTCTAATTGAGAATTTGCTTATTTGAGGTTTTATTTTATTGTTTCATAGGCTGTTACTTACCTCGATAATGCATCGTCCTTTTCATTTTCTAATTTTGCCTTTTCTTTTTCTAATGTTGCCTTTTCTTTCTCCAGTCGCTTAATTTCGCTCATCAAAGTATCGTTTTCCCTGTTCGGCTTTTGTAGACTGACTTCTTTGGTCTCTAACACTGTTTTCAAATTTTCGTCTTTTTGACCAACATGACTTTTAAGTTCCTTCCCATTATCCGTTGTATTTGTAAATGTGTGTTCTTTACTACCCCAATGTGTACTTCCTTCCATGTCAACAGTGCAGACAGAGGTAAAATGTTTTAGAAAGTCATGACCACGAACTACAAAGACAACTGAATCAAATTGTGTTTTGTCTTTAAACAGTGATATGTTTAATGTGATAGTCTTGAAACAAGCTATTAAACTATCAGTATCAGTTAATATAATTGTTACTCATACCGGATTTCTTAGAAATGACGTATATATTTTGTTCATGTAACAAAGACTATAATGAACCACTGAATATGTCACCATTCTCTATATTTGCAGGTAGTCCGCAATGAAAGGCGTTTTTTTTTTAAATAATGCGCTAACAAACCTCCTCCACTCAAGAGGGAAAATTAAATAATATAGTTTGACAGACATTTAAGATGAATCGTTTGTGAAAGTGAAAGTGGAGTACCACCGTCGAAGAAAATAGAAACTGATAAAAGGTTTTGCTTGGAACTTTATAAAATTTAATATTCAACGAGAAATAAAAATTATCGGTTTACAATTTATAACTTACCCCATTCGAAATCAAAACACACTATTAAGTTAATTGGCAATATTCCATAAGGAAGTAAAACTTTTTAACATCTATATATATATATTGTATTATATTAAATCACGTCTGACATGTATATCAGATAGTAACAGAGTATTTTAAATATACATAATAAAAATCATATATTTGTTTATGGCAAAGTGTACGTAATAAACTACTCCACAGGTTTTTAAAAATATGATATGAATAATGCCTGTACAAATACACAAGGAAAAGAATAAAAAATGGGGGTTTCCCTAACCGATTTTTATATTCGAGCTACTGACATTTATAGCACGATACGCCAAAGATACAAAGAGTATATAGGAAAAATCATAAAAGTCTTTAGGTATTTTCTGATTCATTATTCAACAAAATTAGACAAAAAGAATACCCGAATGAAAACTCTATTTAACTGGTGACGAGAAAGTCCTTTGCAACCTTGCTTGTTTTCAATCTATATCCTGTGAAATATTGAATTTCAAAGGAAATTGTTGAATTTTGCAGCGGCATTATTGGTGTCACAGTGACGATAGGCGGTAGTGTATATCTGCCATTATTGGTGTCGCAGTGACAACAGACGTTAGTGTGTATCTGCCATTATTGGTGCCACAGTAACGATAGGCGTTGGTGTGTATCTGCCATTATTGGTGCCACAGTGACGATAGGCATTAGTGTGTATCTGCCATTATTGGTGTCACAGTGACGACAGGCGTTAGTGTGTATCTGCCATTATTGGTGTCACAGTGACGATAGGCGTTAGTGTGTATCTGCCATTATTGGTGTCACAGTGACGACAGGCGTTAGTGTGTATCTGCCATTATTGGTGCCACAGTGACGATAGGCGTTAGTGTGTATCTGCCATTATTGGTGCCACAGTAACGATAGGCGTTGGTGTGTATCTGTCATTATTGGTGCCACAGTGACGATAGGCATTAGTGTGTATCTGTCATTATTGGTGCCACAGTGACGATAGGCGTTAGTATGTATCTGCCAATATTGGTTCCACAGTGACAATAGGCGTTAGTGTATCTGCCATTATTGGTGTCACAGAACGATTGGTCATAAAGCTCTTCAAATGTTTCGGTTTCTATACATCCTGGTTTTCAAATATCCGGCTTTGATAGTTCCTGGTGGAGGCAAATCCAGAAAAGCGCTTCGGACGCATGAAATGTTTAAAGTGTTTGTTTTCATTTTTGCCCGAGGTCCGGAAGAAGGGGGAAATAAGTAGTCAAGATTTAACATTTTATATATCAATTTTGGATGCATGTCATCAGTGTATTCGCAACTCACTAACGACAACCTTAGCAACCTTGCTTGTTTTCAATCTATATCCTGTGAAGTATTGAATTTCAAAGGAAATTGTTGAATTTTGCAGCGGCATTATTGGTGTCACAGTGACGATAGGCGGTAGTGTGTATCTGCCATTATTGGTGTCACAGTGACGACAGGCGTTAGTGTGTATCTGCCATTATTGGTGCCACAGTAACGATATGCGTTGGTGTGTATCTGCCATTATTGGTGCCACAGTGACGATAGGCATTAGTGTGTATCTGCCATTATTGGTGCCACAGTGACGATAGGCGTCAGTGTATCTGCCATTTTTGGTGTCATAAAACGATTGGTCATAAAGCTCTTCAAATGTTTCGGTTTCTATACATCTTGGCTTTCAAATAGTCGGCTTTGATAGTTCCTGGTGGAGGCAAATCCAGAAAAGCGCTTCGGATATAGAAATTTTTAAAGTGTTGTGTTCATTTGCCAGAGGTCCGGGGGAAGGGGGAAATAAGTAGTCAAGATTTAATATTTTTTATATCAACTTTTGATGAATGTCATAAGTGTATTCGCAACTCACTAACGACAACCTTAGCAACCTTGCTTGTTTTCAATCTATATCCTGTGAAGTATTGAATTTCAAAGGAAATTTTTGAATTTTGCAGCGGCATTATTGGTGTCACAGTGACGATAGGCGGTAGTGTGTATCTGCCAATATTGGTGTCACAGAACGATTGGTCATAAAGCTCTTCAAATGTTTCGGTTTCTATACACCTTGGTTTTCAAATATCCGGCTTTGATATTTCCTGGTGGAGGCAAATCCAGAAAAGCGCTTCGGACGCATGAAATTTTTAAACTGTTGTTTTCATTTTTGCCCGAGGTCCGGAAGAAGGGGGAAATAAGTAGTCAAGATTTAACATATTATATATCAACTTTTGATGAATGTCATAAGTGTATTCGCAACTCACTAACGACAACCTTAGCAACCTTGCTTGTTTTCAATCTATATCCTGTGAAGTATTGAATTTCAAAGAAAATTGTTGAATTTTGCAGCGGCATTATTGGTGTCACAGTGACGATAGGCGGTAGTGTGTATCTGCCATTATTGGTGCCACAGTAACGATAGGCGTTGGTGTGTATCTGCCATTATTGGTGCCACAGTGACGATATGCGTTGGTGTGTATCTGCCATTATTGGTGCCACAGTGACGATAGGCGGTAGTGTGTATCTGCCATTATTGGTGCCACAGTAACGATAGGCGTTGGTGTGTATCTGCCATTATTGGTGCCACAGTAACGATATGCGTTGGTGTGTATCTGCCATTATTGGTGCCACAGTGACGATAGGCATTAGTGTGTATCTGCCATTATTGGTGCCACAGTGACGATAGGCATTAGTGAATCTGCCATTATTGGTGTCACAAAACGATTGGTCATAAAGCTCTTCAAATGTTTCGGTTTCTATACATCTTGGCTTTCAAATAGTCGGCTTTGATAGTTCCTGATGGAGGCAAATCCAGAAAAGCGCTTCGGACTTAGACATTTTTAAAGTGTTGTGTTCATTTGCCAGAGGTCTGGGGGAAGGGGGAAATAAGTAGTCAAGATTTAATATTTTTTATATCAACTTTTGATGAATGTCATAAGTGTATTCGCAACTCACTAACGACAACCTTAGCAACCTTGCTTGTTTTCAATCTATATCCTGTGAAGTATTGAATTTTAAAGGAAATTATTGAATTTTGCAGCGGCATTATTGGTGTCAAAGTGACGATAGGCGGTAGTGTGTATCTGCCATTATTGGTGTCGCAGTGACAACAGACGTTAGTGTGTATCTGCCATTATTGGTGCCACAGTAACGATAGGCGTTGGTGTGTATCTGCCATTATTGGTGCCACAGTGACGATAGGCATTAGTGTGTATCTGACATTATTGGTGCCACAGTGACGATAGGCGTTAGTATGTATCTGCCAATATTGGTGCCACAGTGACAATAGGCGTTAGTGTATCTGCCATTATTGGTGTCACAGAACGATTGGTCATAAAGCTCTTCAAATGTTTCGGTTTCTATACATCTTGGTTTTCAAATATCCGGCTTTGATAGTTCCTGGTGGAGGCAAATCCAGAAAAGCGCTTCGGACGCATGAAATTTTTAAAGTGTTGTTTTCATTTTTGCCCGAGGTCCGGAAGAAGGGGGAAATAAGTAGTCAAGATTTAACATTTTATATATCAATTTTGGATGAATGTCATAAGTGTATTCGCAACTCACTAACGACAACCTTAGCAACCTTGCTTGTTTTCAATCTATATCCTGTGAAGTATTGAATTTCAAAGGAAATTGTTGAATTTTGCAGCGGCATTATTGGTGTCACAGTGACGATAGGCGGTAGTGTGTATCTGCCATTATTGGTGTCACAGTGACGACAGGCGTTAGTGTGTATCTGCCATTATTGGTGCCACAGTAACGATATGCGTTGGTGTGTATCTGCCATTATTGGTGCCACAGTGACAATAGGCATTAGTGTGTATCTGCCATTATTGGTGCCACAGTGACGATAAGCGTTAGTATGTATCTACCAATATTGGTGTCACAGTGACAATAGGCGTTAGTGTATCTGCCATTATTGGTGTCACAGAACGATTGGTCATAGAGCTCTTCAAATGTTTCGGTTTCTATACATCTTGGTTTTCAAATATCCGGCTTTGATAGTTCCTGGTGGAGGCAAATCCAGAAAAGCGCTTCGGACGCATGAAATTTTTAAAGTGTTGTTTTCATTTTTGCCCGAGGTCCGGAAGAAGGGGGAAATAAGTAGTCAAGATTTAACATTTTATATATCAACTTTTGATGAATGTCATAAGTGTATTCGCAACTCACTAACGACAACCTTAGCAACCTTGCTTGTTTTCAATCTATATCCTGCGAAGTATTGAATTTCAAAGAAAATTGTTAAATTTTGCAGCAGCATTATTGGTGTCACAGTGACGATAGGCGGTAGTGTGTATCTGTCATTATTGGTGTCACAGTGACGGCAGGCGTTAATGTGTATCTGTCATTATTGGTACCACAGTAACGATAGGCGTTGATGTGTATCTGCCATTATTGGTGCCACAGTGACGATAGGCATTAGTGTGTATCTACCATTATTGGTGCCACAGTGACGATAGGCGTTAGTATGTATCTGCCATTATTGGTGCCACAGTAACGATAGGCGTTGATGTGTATCTGCCATTATTGGTGCCACAGTGACGATAGGCATTAGTGTGTATCTGCCAATATTGGTGCCACAGTGACAATAGGCGTTACATCCACTTCATTTGAACCTTGGTGGATAGGTTTCTCATTCGCAATCATACCACATCTTCTTATTTTTATTTAAACTTTAAAGTATATTACTATTAAGTCAACGTTCATATATTGTACAGGTATATTTTTTGATGGAAAATCTCTGCAAATGGTCTTTTAGGAAATAATTGAATGTTGAATGTTGGAAACGAATGTTGAAAGTTGAAAACGAACGTTGAAAAAAAAAATAAGAAACAAAGTAGATTTTAAAAATTAAAAAAAAAATTGAAAAATGTTTTTGAATGTTGAAAGTTGAAATCGAATGTTGAATGTTGAAAACGAACGTTGAATGCTGAAAACGAATGTTGAATGTTAAAAACGAATAAAAAAACATTGAATGTTGAATGTTGAATATTGAACCAACTTGACATCCGTAAAGCGTTGACCGAAGCAGATTTTGTATGAAGTGCTTCATATTAAAAATGTCCGCACGATAAACGCTTTTACAACCCTGTAAAATCATAAAAAAAGCATTCGATTTTTATTTTTACATTTTTATGCTAC